TATTCTAGTTTTGTGATTTATTTTTTTCCTAGCATCAATTCAATAAATAGCTCTTTCCCTATTGGGCTATCAGCAAAGTAGTTAGAGGTGCAAAAGACAAAATCGTTCCCATCAATTCATGGGTAGAATGTATTGGTCCTAGAGCTCAAATGCATTTGTTTTCTATTTGTGTAATGAAAACCCACAATTTAATGTGAACAATCCGATGAGAATTCCCTGCAGTTTGTAATGAGAAGGTATTCTGGTTCATATCTACTGCTGAGAAAAAGGTTTAGGTTCTGTGGCCATATTTGTGTTACATTGACTACGTTCTTGCTATAGTTATAACTATATATATTTAACTATATATAGTTATAACTATATAGTTATCCCTATAAAGGAATTTTTCTTAAATCCTTTTATGAACCTACCCTCTTTCAGTAATTTCCATTACATCTGATACAGTGTACAGACTAGATACAGTTACTACAGCTTGTACAGTTCCTTTCACCAGTGGAGTGAACATGCACACACAGTGAGCAGATCTCCAGCCAGCCCTACCTGCCATGCAGAAACAAAAAAATTTTTAATTCCTTGAAATGTTAAAAGGAAAAAAAATTACATACACACACACATATACATATATATATATGGAAAAAAAGCCAAAAGTCCTACTGTAATAAATCCAGGTTTCTTAAGAGATGATTGTCACTTTAATAGATTCTTAATGGCAGAAGGCATGTAAATCCTAATTTATATAACAGGACATCTAAGCAGATCCTTTAGGAAAGTTATCAGAACACCTGCAGATACACGGCACAATTTAAAGAGCAGAGTGAAGCTATAAATACACATGGAGTGACCTCATTCATATTGTTCTTTCATAGGACTCAGATCTTTAGCTCAACAAAAAAAAAAGTAACAAAAGCAGGAAAGACTGCCTTTTGGTTAAGAACTGAGAGGCAGGAAACCTGGATTCCATTTTTGGCTCTGCCACAGAAGTCCCTTATGGCAAACTTTTCCAACTTCAGGGGATCAAATAAAGGAAGTGATTTTCAGAGGTCTTAACTGTAAGTACCCAGAGTTGTAAGTACCCAGAGTTGAAAGACTTGTCTAGATTCTCTGCTTCACCTCCTTCATCTGAAGCACAGTGATAAAAAAAAAAAAGCAATAAATCATATATACCAATAATGATGTAAACTTCCTCAAGAAAACAATAATAGTATTATATCAATTTTAAAAATCCTAGATATAAATACATAATAGGCTCATCTTTCTGGTGTTCAAAGTATTCACTTTTAACAAAAAATAAACCTTTAAATATTCAACATTGCCTTTGTTCTTATGCAAGTTGAAAGTATCATCTTCCATTTTTAAACAGTAAAAATGTTTAGACTGATGTATTAAGCAGTACAGCAGCATTTTGGACCCTAAGGAAGAATCCACCCACACTTCATTTTCAAGAGTGACTGATGGTTATATAGAACAAATTTAAAGTTTTTTTCAGCAAGATAAATTCTTTTTGGTTTTGTTTTTAAATACCTATTTTTACGGACAATCCTCCTATATTTAAAAAAGCATTATTTTCAAATATGTCCAATCATACTGAATTTGTCTCAGTTGCAATAGCTAACCAAACATAACCCAGGAAAACAAAAACAGTGTCCTATTTTGTTTTTCATTATGAGTACTTTGTTTAGCTGAATGACTTTATATTCAGTACTACAAAGGTTAGTTTTGGTTTAGTATGCAACGTGGAAAGTACAAGAAACTATGATTACCATGAAAAAATGGTACATTAAGTTTTAATTTTAAGCAAACGAAAAGGCTGATGAACTTTCATTACAAAGGAGGGGAGGAGAGGGACAGAAAAGAAAAATTGATTTATTTAACATTGGCTTTCCTATCTGGAAAAAATCACTAGAAATGTGGGAAATCAATTTCAATAGATGCAAGTAAATAGGAATATTTTCCAAAAGCTATACTAAAACACTACAGAATGTTGCTATATACATCTCTAATGAATATACACTATTCACATGCTATAGTAAGCTGGACATTACTAATGGCAACAGATTATTCTTTTTGGTCATGCTTCATGTAGGACTAATGACAGCTTTTAGAGACTAACTAGGTGTTTTTTGTTGTTGTTGTTTTTATTAATAGAACTATCTTCAATTGTTTTCTAAGAAAAAATCATCACAAGTTGTGATTTCCTGACTCAGTGAAACAAAGTTTTTGTACCAGTAATTTTGTTTTTCTTCAGGATATTTTATATCTTTAAATATTGCATCTTTAACAGTCTAGATGTCAATTACAGGTGGGTCTGACAGTACTTTAGAAAGCTACTAGAATAGAGAGTCAGTAGTCTAGAGATTTTCCAATACAAGCAGTGATTTCCCACGAAGTCCAGAAGAGAGGAATGTAAACAATTCATGAAGCACATCAGCTCAGGTCCCAGGTTCTAAGCTCCTTATACAGCCAAGATAATTGTTGACTTTAATTGCTGCTGTGGAAACACAGGGAATTTGCTTGTACGTATATGGTACATTTTTCCTATGAAAACAGATATTGCTGCCTGAGGATGTGTTTGGTTTTACTTCTCAAAAGATTCCGAGCTAAACATGAAGCCAGGAACAACCGTGGTGCTACACAGCACTAACTGACCTTAGTTGAATTTGAGTTACCTCTTTCCTTTGAGAGGACACAGCAGCACATGTCTTATAAATTAATTCAAGCCCCTCTCACAACAAGCAGGAGCATGAACCGGAATGCCAAGGCAGGCATACATCCTAGGCATGGTTACAGGAACAACAGCAGATCCTTGAATCTCGCTAGTCATTTTGAAACTTGATTGAATCCTTTAAAAATTCCTATAGGATCCACACCACTCCTTTGTCTAACCCAGATAAATAACTTAATCACACAAAGTCAATTTCTTCAGAAGAGCTATTATGTTAAGGGTTTTCAAAATGAAAAACATTTTGTACAGTTCCTGGACTTTATTGTTCCAGTCTGTGTTCTTTCCGCAAAAACCTTACAGTAAATACCCATTTTCTCATTTTCAATTCTAGCCTTCCCTACATCTTCGTTTGTTGACCACTGACAATTTCCCTCTACCCATCAGTTCTTGTTACATGGACTTTCTCTGATACATTGCTCAAGTAGAAAATATATTATCTTTCAGAATAAACATGGAAAAGAATAGGTTTTTATTCACCCAGGGCAAAAGAGTATTTGCTTATTTTATAATGTGTCTATGTAAAATTGCCCTGCTGAACTAAGCAGTTTGTCAGAACTGTAGTGCTTGCTACACAGGACTTCTTCAGATAACTTCTTGTGATAAGACACATCTTAGTGAAGAGTCAATGTAAAGCAGCACATTTTTGTTTGTGTAGCACTGTGGCGTCCTGCTGCTTCCCTGCACACAGGGGAACTGACCTGCAGGCAGGTCACCTTTCCAGAGGATTCTAAACTACAAATTCATTTTTCCAGTTCTGCGATGATGCTATAGTCTGAGCACCATGTATATTGTTCCCACTCCACATTTCCAGTTGCTAGCATAGGCAGTCTGCAGCTAATACCCTCAGTTAAGTACATGCAAGCAAAAACTTCCCAGCATCAAGCTGGACCAGCCACCCACAGGACCTACTGCCTTTGGTCCTGTTTGCAGCTTGTTTTCCACTCCAATGAGACTTCACCAGCTCAGTTTGCAACAGGAGTTCTTACATAGCAATTGGTCTGCTATTAATCTACTATTCAGGTTATAGAAACCAGTAGTTACCACTAAGAAATAACTCCAGATTATCTGGTACCTTATCTGATCATTAGGTTAGCCTGAGCTTTTCCAAGTGAAAGTCATTAATCTGATTCCTCTGCTGTGTGCCTCTGAAACAGTACTCCACATTTACATCCGATGGAAAAAATTAAACTAATGAATGACAGGACACCTCATTGCTGTTTATATCAGTCCATGCCACACCTGGCTACCCAGGACTCCTAGGACTCACTGATTTCTAAAGCAATTTTTGGCTAGAATCCAATACTGATTTCCTTGGTATATGGGGTCCCCAAACTACATTCCTGCACATAAAATGTCTTCCAGAAGACAGCATACAGAAGTAGTCTTTCAGTGACTATAAATTTGATGGCATTATGAAAATATCTAAAATATCTACTGGAAGATTCAGATTGGGAAAAACAGAGGAATAACAAATTCCTCATGAAGAAAAGCACTGCCTTCTGAGAGCACGTAGCAGCAGCCAGTGGACTACAGGAAAGACTTACAACCTGGCCTGAAGAAAGACAACTAAAAAAAAATAAAAAAGGAAAATCAGTCTTTCTTGTTTCTGATTTTATCCTTGTGTTCAGCAACCACAAAAATCAGTTGTGCTACCTGTCAAGACTGTAGTTCAAAGAGAACACAAATTTACTATACTCATTATCCATGTTTCCCTTTTCACGCAGCCTCCATTAAGTTAAACATGAAACTATACTACAGATACTAGCTCTTAGCCAGCAGTCAGATTGTAAAAAACAATTTATTATAGTAGAGTCACCAGTGTTTCCAGTCACCCTCAGGGTCTGAAGAGGTTATACTATAACTTCAATATCATTACCACAGTTACAAATAGAGAAAGCAAGCCACATTCAATAAATATATACATGTATTTCCAGTTTTCAGCAGCCTGCAGAGTACAGTGGGTGCCAGTGAGTTCCATCATTACAAAGAGCCAACCCAGTACCTACAGCCGTATCTCTACCATAAACGTGCTCATCCATTTAAACTGCTGACCGCATATTCACTGTCATGACTTACCACACTGCAGGTATACAAATTTGAAAATCCCTTGATAAACGCTGAATGTGAAGTCCAGGCTTTCTCAAGATTTTGTATGGACATTATTTAAAACTGAGATGACTTTTTAATCTGTTTTGGATCCTCAAAAAAAAAAAAAGTGCAGATGCAGCCCTGGAGGCATTTTATCATTCAAGTCAGCATGAAAGAGTATACCACTTACCGCTGAACAGGTAACGGAAGGGAATCTAAGTGGTCCTCACCCTTAAAAGCCATATTTATCCTCTTATGTATGCTTTTCCATAGGCTGGAATCTAGAAAGAAAACAGTCATTTAGTAAACCCAGGGAAACCCAAGCCTCTTCAGTCCAGGGTAGCATGGCATTCTCCTGCTGATTTGTGGAGTTCTCATCAGAAACAATTCAAAAAGCTTCTTTACCTTAGGTTATTACACAACTCCATCAGATAACCAAGGCCAGTAAGTACATTTCATGGCATAAGAAACATAGGGTTTTGCATATTCGTGAACTTCCTGGATTACTGCACAGGTCAGAGCCATCTGGGTTGAACACATTATTGGGTAAACAGTTATTATTTAGTATCGTTTCTAAGTCATGTTGCATTAATTAGCACTACAGAGAAAAATTGGTTTAGTAAAACTAATTGTTCAGGTTATCATGTAAATAAAAGACTACAACAGAAAGCAAGTGCATGGTTGTATGATTTCAAGATCATATAACACTACATTTACAGAAAGACCCTTGAAGTCCAAGTTATCGAAATATTAGATTCCTCCATGATACACAACTTCATTTTTTATTAGTTCAAAACACTGTATACATTTTCCTCCACGTTTTCCCCTTATACCATGGCCAGGATAAGCATCCAAAACCCCTGTACTAGAAAGAAGTAAGAGGGTGCCCTCTTCATTTAGTTAGCCCCATCTTCCATTAGGGCATTACCCACTATAGATCAATGCATATTCTGAGCAGAAACCAGAGCTGAGTTAGTCTACAGAAATGGTGAAGCAATCCCCACTCATCCACGTGGCTACAGGAAGAACTAATACAAAATATTTGAAGGAGAAGTTTAAGCCATGACTCAAGAATGACAAGGAGATGAACAAATCTGGAGGAGGCAAAGAACAATGATGCTTTCCTGGATGTGGAAAAAAATAAAAAATAAAATCAATGAATCTTACTCAGAGAACATACACAGGAAATTAATGCTGTTTCTGTCGCCAACAGTGGGAAAAGACTTTTGATGCAACCACTTGTGAAACTGCCATTTTGTTACTGGCTACTTTCTTCAAGCTGAGTCAGCCAGCATTTAAGAAATTTGCCACTCCAAATTGCTCTTAATTGACACAGAGTAGTCCTCAGCATCTTTCATAGCAAACCAATCTCGTTGCTAATGCATGTCCTTGCCTTTTTTTTTTTTTTTGCCCCCCAAGTCCCACAAACTTTGTCCTAAACACAAAAATATTTCAGAGTAACACACTCAACGTGCTCTGCCTGTTGCTGCACCACGTAACTTGGGCAATGTTATCCCCATCCTACCCCCTCAAGTTTTCCTGGAAATAACAAAGTTAATTTTAATGAATATTGAAATATACTTCATTACATGCATGTGAGAAGAATCTGATTTGCTTTTTGGGGGGCAATTTAAATATCGCTAAACCTTGGTTTTAGAAGATCACCAGCATCCAATACTTGATAGACTAACTGAATTCTCACTTGTCCAAGTAAGAAAATATTAGCATGCATCTTTCTGCTCCCATGATACTCTGATTTGAACAACAGGCTTGCTTGTTTGGTTGTTTTTGTTTTGTTTTGTTTTTGGTTGGTTGGTTTTTGTTTGGTTGGTTTTTTTAATCATATAGTATATACTGTATAGACAGCACTAACTGGAAGAAATAATCTTTTTTTTTTCTTTTAATAGCAGGTTGTTTATTTTCTGCCTTTTCAAAATACATTTGAGATTACCAAATATAAATAATCACAGAATCCAATTTACTGTAATTAGCTGATCTTGACTATCTTCATTTGGGGAAAAACCTTTAATCAAAAGATGAACATGTCTGCATAAAATCTTCATCCCCAGCATGAGGTTTCCTGTCATGTGAAAGGCAAACTTTCTCTCAGCCTACAGAAGTCCAGACTTTGTAGACACTGTCTCCTCCTGTGCAGCATAAGGCACAGGTTTTATCTTCTATGCTACCAATGCAAAAATGAACAGCTTCCCTTTGGCAAGCTAAAGCTGCTTCACCATTAGTTCAGCCCACTAACAGAATTTCTATACATACAAATCAGAGCATTTGATGTATTCCATTACTTGTGATCAGTGACATAATGTACACAGACATAAATTAGGTTGCTGCATCTCATTGTGCTCTATAAATTAGAAACATGACAAAAATGCAGCTTTTTTTTAAAGGCTGTCTTCCCATAAAACACACATTTACATTATGGTTGAGAGCCTTTAAAAACATGATCAACTCCTACTTAGTGGTCACTTATCTTCCAGGAACAGCAACAAAATACGTTACCAATATTTTCACCAAACAGACTGTTTCTTTAAGCCCAAGCTGATGTGAGCATACGTAAATGCATGTTAAGAAAATGTATATGTGCATACATTATACACATACACAAAACACAAATGTATCAACTTTATAGATACTACTAGACAACAGAAGTAGCTAATGTTTTTTTCCCCACCAGCTCTCAGTATACACTGGATCAGCCCCAGATCTGGCCAGAGATGCTGCCTAGGCAAATGTACCAAAAAATTAACACTCCTTGTAAACTCTAATACTGGTTATTTTTGCACTGGCCTGAGTAAAACATTTGTGCTGAAATAATACAAGCTTTATTCTTGGACTTCTATAAATCCATTTTTTTTAATAAATTATATACTATTTTACATAAGCGTTTGCATACACACTTGCATCATCACTTTAAATAACTTATGATCATATTTAATTCTTCTGGTAGATAGTGTATATGGAATTAGATGTATTCAAGGCAGCAGCCTCTCTTTGTGTTCTTCATCTTTCTCTTTGTCCTGTCAACACTGAACTAGATTTTAAGATGTTATTTCCTCATGTTTAACTATATACATGTAAGATAAGCACACCATAAATCACATTTTATTCCCACCAAAGACAGCCAAATCTTCTTTCAGAGAGTTACTTCACAGTAAGAAAACAAAACATCACATTTGTGACAGCATATAAGCACTGCTCACAGAAAAGGGCCAAAAAAATACCTGTAAGAAGTAACTTGCTCATACACAAATACCATGTACTGGTTCTAGAAACTGATACAGAACATGAAAAACAGCTTTGAGAGCTCACAAACTAGCCCACCTGTAAGTTAAAGAAAGTCTCATCCTAACTTACACCAGGCCTCATCAGCACAGTGCAGCTGGGAGCTGTCAAGTTGCTGGTTCCAAAAGAGCAGATTCCTCCTGCATTAAAAGAGCTCCCTGCTGGGAGCCTCTTCTTGCTCAAGTCTGTTGTAGCATTAGAGAGAAGCTTCTGAAGCACAACACGACATTTAGCATCCTAAGAAAGATGTTATTTCTGCTAGAAAATGATATTGCATCTTGTTAAACCTTCCAGTTTAAGTTATTTCTCCATCATTCAACACAACAGCATGTTTATCAAGCTAAAATGTAGGAGAATTTTAGCAGTCTGTATTTCTGTTAAACAGTATCAGTTGTCCAAAACCATCACAGTAACATCACGTATTCAAGGTGAAATAAGTGTGACTCATTTACTCCTATTACTGATGGTCTAAAGGAAGTTCTCCATCACAAAGTGACACCCTGAATAATTAAGCCCTGAGAGTCACACAATTAAATTCACATTTTGAACACATTCACTGCTTGCATGTCCAGCTTTGTAAAGGCTTAAATCAAAAGGCAAATCCATGAACTTTTGCCATCCTATTTCTAACCCCTAACATTATAATTTCAGCACTAAGAATACGTGAAAATAAGGTCAATCAAGAGCATCATTTTTCTTTCTGAAAGACAGAAAATCACCTATCTAGCTTGTGATTATTAGTAATCAGAATCAGAAGAGCATGTTACTTGTAAGTAGCACGGTTAGCCTGAGAACAAGAAGTCATTAGCTTCAGTCATTTTAGACTAGATATCCTTTGATTAATATTAACAGTTCCTGTCCATAGTAAAGTACAATATCTGTTCTGCCAAACAGTGCCTGTCCTCATTTTACAATGCTGGGAGTCTGGGAATCATTAGTTATTATTCTTCTGGTAGACAGAGTAACTGTTAATGGAATGCCACAAATCAAATTAAGAGCAAAATTCTGACAGCATTTATGTGAGAGGTCAGAAAGTAAACACACACACCATGTCCTTCAGTAACATGTCTGGTCCATCTGAAGTTATTTGTACTAACCATTTGAGGACTCAGGATCCTGTGGTTATTTTGGATTATAACGGATTTATACAGGCCTGAATTAATTGCAATAGTAAAAGTCAACTGAGTATTAAGCTAGGTGTCACAAATCCAAGAAGCCATAAAACCAAAAGCAAGAAGTAATGAAGAGTCCTTCAAGCGATGCATTAAAACGGGCTGTATTAGCGTGGGACCATATACACAGATATATGTACCATAATCCTGGAATACAAAATTCAAGCTAGAAGTGTGTGTGTGGAGGGGGAGGGAGGGGGGGAACAGGCACTACCTGCAGCACTCATTTGTGATAGCAGCTCTTGCAGAACTGATAATCAAACAGGAAGCACTGCTGAGTAGCCCATGCTTTATACTTCAAGTATAAACTGAAGCGCAAATCCATTTTCACTCACAAAGGGTTTTATTTTTAATGCATATTTCTTCCCTTCTTTTCCTCTCTATTTTCAGAAGAGACAGGATTTCATTTTAAACAGTTCTGTGTTTATCTTTGACAACACTCATTATGTATATATATGTGGATATTAATTCAAGCTGAAGTCTGTGCAGCTTCTTTTCTGCTTTGGATTTTTCCTCATCTTAGCCTTACAGTACACAGCTAGAAATTCAAAACAAGAAAAACAAAGAGAGGTAGATAAAAATCTACCTCTGTTCAAGAAGAGCATCCTGAAAATTACAGTTGAGAAACATTACTTGGAGATCTTAACTTAGCGTGAGAAGTATAACATGGCCAACTGCCAATGGGAAAGGAAATATATCTCAAGCTAGTCTCCTAAGACTGGGTCTCATTCATCTTCACACAGAGTTTGATTTCTTCATTCACCTTTGGGTTTTAGAGCCTTCAAAATGTTCTTGCACATCTAATGTCTTCT